TGACCTTCCTCAAGTTTTTTCTTTCAAATTATAATGTATCCCATAATATAATGTTAGTTTAAACAATACGGTCACGAAAGGTATACGAAATCGATCCACATAGAACATTTAATCATTTTTAATCTTTTGTTGAGAGTTTTTAGTCTTCCATGTACTATAAGTGACCTAAAAATTTGTGATGTAATGTATACAAAATATATGCTGTTATTAATTATTTTTTGATTGTTTTTATATTCCGTTTTGTAAAAAAGTTAAGCGCTTGTGCATTATAAACTAGACGTTCTTAGTATTGACTTTAAAGTTATTAGTCTTAAACATGGAATGTGTTCTATTGTCGGTTTTTTGATTTCTAATATTGTTAGTGCGTTTGGTGACCTTCCTCAAGTTTTGTCTTTCAAATAATAATGTATCCCATAATATAATGTTAGTTTAAACATTACGGTCACGAAAGGTAAACGAAATCGATCCACATAGAATAGTTAATCATTTTTAATCACTTGTTGGGAGTTTTTAGTCTTCCTTGTACTATAAGTGACCTAAACATTTGTGATGTAATGTATACAAAATATATGCTGTTATTAATTATTTTTTGATTGTTTTTATATTCCGTTTTGTAAAAAAGTTAAGCGCTTGTGCATTATAAACTAGACGTTCTTCGTATTGACTTTAAAGTTATAAATCTTAAACAAACTTTTAACGTTAATAATAACTCTCGCAAATGAATTTCCATGGAATGTGTTCTATTGTCTATTGTCGGTTTTTTGATTTCTAATATTGTTAGTGCGTTTGGTGACCTTCCTCAAGTTTTGTCTTTCAAATAATAATGTATCCCATAATATAATGTTAGTTTAAACAATACGGTCACGAAAGGAAAACGATATCGATCCTCATAGAATAGTTAATCATTTTTAATCACTTGTTGGGAACTTTTAATCTTCCCTGTATTATAAGAGACCTAAATATTTGTGATGTAATGTATACAAAGATATATGCTGTTATTAATTATTTTTTGATTGTTATTATATACCGTTTTGTAAAAAAGTTAAGCGCTTGTGCATTATAAACTAGACGTTCTTCGTATTGACTTTAAAGTTATAAATCTTAAACAAACTTTTAACGTTAATA